AAGTGCAACATAAGAGGCTACCTGAAAAAGAAACTAACAAACTTTTTCTTGGTTCAGATTTTAGGCCAGGTACAATCATAGCCTCAATAAGGAACTTCACTAGTTAACTTATTTATAAATATATAAACATGCAAAAATAGAAATGTCCCTTTTCTTCTTAGTTTTCAATTGGCAACTGTTACTGAAGTTTTACTTTATCTATAAACTTACAAAGCAGTAAAAAAGCTATCTGGGACACGAGAACTTAGTTTAAGAAAATATATAAAGCAGATACACAACAGGAAAAGGTTTCACTAGGAAAATCATTTTTGCATAACTTTGTTGGAAAAGGCTACTCTGTCCACAGGGCTGAAATTGTTTTGCAGTTTCAACCACAAACCAAAAAATGTCTGTAAGAACTTGGACAGACACTGATGAACATAAAAGCAACACAGATTTATTTATGTTCAGTCCCTCCTCCTTAGCACTTAAAAAATTAAGGCTTAATCACACACATAGACAGAAAATAACACTTACTAACCAAAATGAAAATATTCTCAGGCAGGTCCTCTTTGGATATTAAATTAACTAAGGTCACAAAAACATTTCTTTTGTTAATGTATAGTCATGCATTTAAAAAATGTTTAAAGATTTTTTTTAGCTTTGACACATTGAACATTACCAAAAATATCATAGAATTTCAGAACTATGAGGGTTAAGAACAAAAGATGTTATTTTAATTGCTAGTTAATAAACAAAAACTTCCAGTACTCCATCTGTCATCTGCTTCATCATCATAAAACTGGATCTGCCTTGGTATTTACCAAAATTTCTTTTTGGCTGATGAAATAGGAAAGTCCTAAAGTCTTGAGCACTTCACAGTTACATAGTAGTGAGCTTATTTGAATATTTCCTAAGGCTGAGGCTGTGTTCGTGCTCCAGATCAAGATTTGTGTGTGGGTAAGTGGGGAAAAGGAGGAAGGAATATAAGAAACAATTGAAGTCTGTGAAAATTATGACTTGTACTTAGTAGGTGATCACTACATCATAGATTTATGAAGCCTTAGATTTGGGACATAACAATCCTTTCCTTTAAAGATGAGGCAAAGGGCTCAGGTATACGAAGTGAGTTGCTTGTGATCACAAAATAACTTAGATGATGAGGAAGATGATAATGGGTAGCGGGTGGAGAATTAGAATCCTATATTATTTTTGAATATTCAGGAGAAGAAAATTAATTTATGACCAGATCTTGTTTTCTTTTCTTGGTTGATATTTGTCCCAAATTTATATTTATGGCCAATAGCAAAATGTCTAAAGTAGAAAGCTCTAATCATACTGTTAGGGAAGTCTGAGAAACAAGCTGAAGAGTGGAGTGAACTATAAGACTCCAGGACAAAGTTATATATCTAATGCAACATTGAACTCTGAGATCAATGTGTTCCCCCACAGTAGCATTATCCCACCAGTAGCATTCTGCCACTCATGACGTCAAGACGCTCCTTGAATTCTATTACTAATGGAAAACATGAACTAGGAAATGTGATATGAGGAAGTAGCAAAGACCAAAGGAATCTCTATATTGGGGTTATGGCTTCAGCCAAGGGAAAGCATGAGAAACTGTGAAGGGAAATTGAAGAATTTGGGCCATAGCAACATATCTTCCTCAGGAGGCATGATGTCCTATATGATCTCACTGAAGTTGGATTCTTTTTACTATTTCATTGTGTTCTGGTTTCAGGTAACAAGTAAGAAATTGAACTAACTTAGGAAAAGGGGGATTCAAATAACAAAGCCACAGGAAAAGCTTGAACATTCTTCAGACCTTCAGAAAGAACTTGTATTCCTTTATTTATTTATTTATTTTTTAAATTTTATTTATTTGAGATAGAGCAAGTAAAAGAGCACATATGGTGGAGAGGGATAGTGGGAGAGAGAGACGCAGACTCCTGGCTGAGCATGGAGCCTGATACAGGCTGGATCCCGGATCCCAGATCCCAGGACTGGATTCCAAGGTCATGACCTGAGCCTGAGAGGAAGGCAGATGCTTAACCAAGTGAGCCACCCAGGCGCCCCCTTGTGCTCCTTGCAAATGGCACCTTCATTCTTTCTCACTGCAGCCTGGTCATCCCTACATAGAAGGAAACCTAGGTCAGTTCTGGACTTTTTTTTTTAAATCTCAGAAGCTATCAGTGAATGACTAATAGGAACTCTTTCTTTCCCATGCACAAAAAATCTCAGGGAAGAGACTCTGTGGGAGTGACCATCTGTCAACCAGTTAACAATGATCAAGGCATTTTGATTGGTCTAACTTAGTATTTTGAGTGGTCCAACTTGGAACAAAGGAGTTGGGGGTGTTGTACCATGGAGGTAGATCCAAGTTAAAAATGTAGAACTGAGGGAAGGAGAGTTCCTAGAAAAGGGACACTGAGCAGATAAATCAGGATGCAAACCTGCGGTTTTCTAAGTAATATGTTGGGTTACTCAGATTTGTTTTTTTCCAGGTTGAAAATAATAGCAACATATTTTTGTTAATACAGCTGATAAAGAATTATTATAAAGTTACATGGAAAAGTGAAGAAATACAGAGATTCTCTTCAGAAATCCTCTAGCAATCATAGAGGATTTAGCATGTCCTGTCTACATCCGGTAGCAAATGTCCCCTACTCTGGTATTCCTTTCTTATGATGACTCAGTTGAGATGGGAAACCAATGAGACCAGACACATAAAAAATTAGCTATTGACTCTAGCTCATGGATTTTACATTCTCACTTTTCTAACAGTTGTTCCACACAGGATACTTCCTTCCTAAGTCTCTAGGGTCTCATAATCAAATTATATAAACTAGACTCTGATTGAGTAGACCAGTCACCATCAAAAACAATATGGGATGCCTCTGTTGGGTAGAACTTTCATGCCAATTCATTTTATAGGCTGCTGGTCAGATATCCAGCTTTGGTTAGGTAGCAATCATTGCTTCAATCAGAACCTCCAAAAAATGGGGTCAAACAGAACAAATTGAAATGGGTATCATGGCAAATCATGGGTATACAAGGTAATTTAATTGGTAGATGCCTTGTACAGACTGTCAAGCATCCAAAAGAAATTGATGAAAAGGTAAAAACTATCACAGTGGACATAAGTAGAAAATCAAAAACAACCCAAATTATCCAGGGCATTTAATTTTTTCCTCAACTTAAGCTAAAATACAAAATTTCTTCAACTTCTTATAACTGTTATCAGAAACAAGACCCTTTTTAATATAGAAACTTAAGCTTTCCCCAAAGCAGGAAAGTTTTTTTTTTTTAATTTTTTTTTTTTCACGTAAGTTGTTACTCTGGGGACAGAAGGAAAGTTTTAAAAAGCAGCAGTTTTCATGGAAGAGAGGTGTTTGAGCATCATGATTAAGAGCAGAAGGAGATTCAAGGAAAGGAGACTGAGAAGAGATTGAATGAAAGGAAAGAAAATAGAGGGGGGAGGGTGATAAAAATAGAAAGCAAAGATAATCCCAAAGAGCAGTGTGCATAGTTCTGAGGCAATCAGTACCACTCCGGTCCAGTCACCATCATCTGTTCTGGGCTTAGTTTCTCTAGGCTCTAGGCTGCTTCTGGGTAAAACAGCATGCTCAGCTTGTTTGGCCTCCTCTCTGTGCCTGTTACTTGCTGTGGGCCTAAGAAAGAGAAGGCTTCAGGTTTCTGGGATGAGGCTGCTATTTCTCTCTGTTCTCAGCTCCATGAAAATTCTTAAGGGACAAGGCTATAGATAAAAGATGTGGGGGAGGAATGGGAAGGTCTCAAATGATGAGTGAGGTGGCTTGATTTTTAAGCTCCCTTGATACTTTTTATTTATATATTTTCTGCTTCTAGCAAGACATAAAAAGTAAAATAATTCATACATAGAATGCCTGTGCAAATAGCAAACCAATAACCTACTACCCCCAGGAGGTTCTGGCCTCTGCCCAGGGTACAGTTTCAGAGCTGTGAAAGGGAAGGGATATGTACACTGATATGACCCAATCCTGGGATATTTTTTATCAAGAAAGGCACAGAAACTCCTATAGTTAGCAATAAACTGGGGACTGGGGCGTGTGGACTTGCAGAGTTGACAACACAGAAGGAGCCTAAAGTTGGGTCCACTGTAGCATAAGCCTAATCATTTGCGTTGGTTATGTCCTGGCATGGCCTTAAGTTGAAGACATTGAACAGCTGAGGAGTGGGACAGTTTCTAGCCCTTCAGAACCACATTCAAGCTTTGGACAAGAATCTGCTTAATGTCAATGAACCCCAAACCAAGTTGTCCTAGAGTCCAAGGAAAAGGTGAAAAGACTTATAAACTGAAAATCAAAGGATGTAGCTATACAAATGTGGTCACTTTCGGAGGGTGGGAATGGTGGGAGAGATGGCATAGTTGGGAAAACGGGTGATTGATTATATTCCCAGGACCACCTAACCAGCAGAGGCTACCGGTTGCTAAACCACCTTTTAAATTACTTTGAGTGTGGAGCAGGAGAGTTTAGAGAAGGGTGAAGGCTTTATGCCCGAAGCAACGTTTTCTTTTCTTTTCTTTCTAGGTCCAGTCTGTGGATGAACACGGTGGGGCAATAAAGAAAATGGTGACTTTCTTGTTTAAAAAAAAAAAAATCCGTAAGCCACCTTCCTGTGCTCTCCGCACTCCACAGGCCAGCTGTCTCGGGCCTCTGTTTCAGTCTGTGGTCTTGGGTGAGCCCTTTAAATCCAGCTTCCCCCCGCCCCCACCAGCACGCGCCCGCTCCCAGACAGGTGTTTTCCCAACTCCTGAGACTGAGGATTTTGGGGAGTGTCTGAGCCAATAAGATTTCCCTTTGGGGTGGGGGCGGGGGAAAAGGCGTGGCTAGTTGGGTCAGAGCGGGGGCGGGGTTTTCGCGGCTGAGCAGAGCCAGCCTGGTGGCGTGGAGGGTTGTTTTATCCGCCCCCCTCCACCTTTTTTTTTTTTTTTTTCTCCTCCCGGAGTCTTATTAATTTCTCTGTGGGGCTGCAGCTGGAGACCGCGGAGCGTTGGAAATGACGCTCGGAGCTTTAATTACCGCAGCCGCCGGACAAGTGTGAGGAAAGCTGACAGGAAAAAGGACAGGATCGGGGGAGAAGCGAGAAGCTTCCCCCCACTCCCCTCGTCCTCCTATTCCCTCCCAATTTGGACTGGAGGTGCAAGGAAACTGAAAAGGGAGCCGAACATAGCCCGGCTAGGGGGAGAGGCCGGAAACCTACCGCCTCTTTGCAATCAACTTTTTTTGGAAACCTTTTTCCCCCTTCCTTTTTATTGTTGACCAACCAGTGAGAGAAAGTGAGGAGGGAGCGAGAAAGCAAAGGCTCACACAGGGAAATAGCTGCACAGTCCGGCCCGGAGAACCAGGCACACATACTCGAGCACACTCCCACACGCGCACACAAGCGCGCACACTCACCCCCTCCTCCGGTCCCCGGCCCTGGACCCGCGGGCGCTGACTCGGTCGCCGGTGCTTGGAGCGGGTGCACCGCGCACGTCGCGCGCCAGTTCCCCTCGCGCCCCCAAGCGCGCCTGGCTGAGGAATCTCCTCCGCGTGCCCGAAAGGGGATATGCCATTTGGACATGTAATTGTCAGCACGGGATCTGAGACTTTCAAAAAATGAAGCTGGCGACAGGACTGTGGGTCTGGGTGAGCCTTCTCCTGGCAGCGGGGACCGTCCAGCCCAACGCTTCTCAGTCAGGTGGGTCGCGCGCGGTTCTTTCTCGCGCTCCAGTTGTTGAACCTGCTGCCGCTGGCTTGGCTGCGTCGGGTGGCTCCCTCGCCCCCTTTGCCCAGAGACCCTCTGGCTCCCAGGCGTGGAGGGACCACTCCACTGGGGCCTCTTCCTTGCGCTTCCGTTCGTCCCTCTTTCTATCCCCAAACTTAACCTTTTTGTGTACCTGTGTTTTATTTATCATGAAATATCACTCTGCGACCCTGTCCCTTTTCTCTCTCTCCTCAACCCCCTTTTTTCTTTCTCGCACGTTTTCTGTGATCCTAAGTGGGATCCCTTGTGGTCCTGCTTGTTGTGCGGGACATGGGAGACACAATTCCCGAGTTAGAGGAGACGGTCCTCTGGCCGTCCGCCCCCCCCCCCCCCAGAGTAAAAGCTTCCAAGAAGCGCGCACCGCCGGGGCTTCGGAAGGGCTGGAGTCCTGGGCGGTGTCAGCTGGGCCTCTTGAGAGCGGGATGGCTGTGGGGAGTGGAGCTCTGAGAGCGGGGCTTTGCACCTGTGTGTGCTGCCGGAGGCCGCTGCGTCCCCTGTCGCTGGAACTTGAGGGGTCAGACTAGACTTGAGCCCAGCCTGGGCAGCTGGAGCGCGGCAGGAGGGCGCGCTTCGGCCCGGGGGCACAGAACTCTGGGCCTCCTACGCCGGCGTCCGGGAGCCTTCGCCCCATTGACAAGAGGGAGCTTGCTTGCCTGCGTGCTCTCTTTAAAAAAAAAAAGGGGGGGGGGGTGGTTTGACATACTTGAGCCGGGAGCCCGGCCTTCCCGTCGGTTGCTGTTTGGCTTCAGGAAGAGTTCTTCCTGTAGTTCAACTTGCTATTGGCCGGAGTCCCTCCAACTTCTCTGTTTACTGCCCGGCGCGGCTGCCGAGCCGACCCGTTGCGCGAATTGATTTAACCCGAGAGGCGGGCGCGACTGCGCTGCCACTGTTTGCAGGAAAGCTTGAGCCCCAGGTACCTGGACAGGCAGAAGGCTTACTGACCCCCGAGAGGCAGCCGGGTGGAGCTGGCGCACCGCGGCGGGCAGGGCTAATGACAGCACCTGCAGTGCGAGGTTGCTCAAAGTTTCTGACACTCGCGTTTCCTGGGGATGAAAGTGGGACAGGAAAGGACGGAGGACCGGTGACTTATGCAGCCAAAGGGGGCCTTTTGGAGAGCGGGGGAGATTTCCGGAACCATCCGGGGCTGGTCGCGGGAGCGTGGGAGGCAGCTAGAGGAGATAAAGCCCCCGGGAGTGGCGATAGGAGAGCTTCAGGCCCCCGGAGGGTGTCCTTCTGACCTCACCAAGAAAACAGCGCGCTGTAGTTTTCCCGCTCCGCCCCCGCCGCTGCCGCCTACCCCTCCTAGCCTAGTAAATAACAAGTTACAATCATCGAGCCTTTCAAAATGACCTTCGAATGCCACCAGTGTGCGCCGTTTGTACTAGCCGTTTGCACCCTCCCAAATACTCCGAAATTCTTCATGCATACCAGGTCCCGCGCGCTCCAGCCACCTCCGGAATTACACCAACACGACTTGAGATTCCAAGCGGCCTCTTAGATACATCCCTTTTTATCTTCCTCCGCACTCCGAGTCCCTTCATATTTTCCCTCAATGGGTTGATTATGCACATTGACCCATTCAAAAGCATTTGCGACCGACATGCAGACTTAGCCGAGAGGAATTTCTACGAGGCAACCTACTGGGGGCTGTCTGGTTTAGCCTCAGCCGCTGGGGGACCCGGCTCCGAGTCCGCAGCAATTTGGTATTAACTGTGTGGCTCAGGGTTGAGCTATGCCGAAAAGCCCTTTTCAGAATTTCTGCAAAGAATGTAATCCAAATTAGTTCTGCAGCTGTCCTCTTCCTCGTCTCAGGCGACACCGCCTCGCGCCCTCGCTGGTCTCTTCTCGCTTCCCCCCGCGAATTGTCAGACCCACAAGTGAGCCCATTTAGAGCGCGAGGATTAGCGTGCCATTGTTGTTCCGTGTGTGACTCTGTACTTGAAATTCTAGGGGCACAAAGGCGAGCCTCACTTGTTCAAAACACAAAGTGATCTAGATGAAAGGGCCGCACAAAGAAAAGCTCTCGGGTGCATCCCTGGTATAATTGCAACACGCATGCTAAGGTGATCCACTGAAAAACTGTAAATGCCCCTAGGGACTTCTTTTTTTCACCCTATCCCACCCCCACCCTGCCGCATCTGGCAAGGAAAGTTCAGCTGGTTTTAATATAGTGCTTTTATAAAACCAAGTTACTGTCTAGAGTATGAGTGAGGCTCTGTGTGTTTGTGGCTGTGTATGTGGGGTTGTATGTTCCCAAGTAAATACATATTGCGTGTCTCTCCTCTCGCGGTTAGCAGTCAGTAGCAGTTTGGAGGAGTTTGTTTTGGTCCAAATGAGAAATTAAGTGCGGATAAGTAAACTAAGCTGCCAGAGGGCGACAAGATGTTGAGTGAATTGCTTTTAGATGAAACAAATTAAGGAAACGAGGGAAGACAATCTGCTTCTCGCATTATTAGACACGCTTGGAGTTCAGGGGAAAGTGGCATATTTTTGAAATGCTAATTTCTTAAGAAGCAGAAGGAATGCACCTTATTTACTGCTCTATGTGAACAGAATAAAGATATGGGTGGGGGGGAGATTCTGTTATATAGATCTAAGATATTTATTAAAATAATTGTAATGGAAAAGGATCTGTTTTTATTTTTTTTTTCTTCTTTTGCTTGAGGAAAAAGTCAGCTTTAGAGAAGACAATTTTTAAATAAATCTTGAGGACTTTGTCTCATTTCCAGTAATTCATTTTATCTAGAAATAGTATATATAGCCAAAGGCCCTTTATATGACTATTATAAAGCCTTTACCACCAAAAGGGATAATTTCAAAATTTTTCTTTTCCTGGCATGATTGAAAAATAATATCACCTTTGTATTGAAATACAATATATAATACTGAAGCAATGCTTTTACATACCTCAATAAATATGGGATGAACAAGTTCAGTTTCCATTTCTTATTTGCAAGTAACTTAGTTCTGCTTTTCATACTATAAAATAACACTTTTTTTCCCCTACATATGTAAGATATATCTTCAAACTTAAGGTTGGGTTTTTTTTTCTACATTTGAGAAGAAAAAAGTTAATGAAACTTAGATAAATGATGAAAAAGATGTAAAATATATTTAAAAAAATCTTTCCTACATGTGTTTACTGTAAGCACACCCACAGGATACTGTTTTTTTTTTCTTCTAATTTTGAAATTCTTATGTATGTAAAAAAGATCTTTTTAGAAGAAGGTATTTTTTTTCTTCAGAATGCTTCTAAACAAATTTATACCTATCATACCTGCAAATAACTTGAAAATACTATGATATGGACTGTTGTGATAAAATTGAATGACTGGTTGTGTCATGATTCCTCATCTTCTGATTTTTTCCTTTTATTTTTTAATTTTTTTCCTTTTAAACTAAACTGCTTTTATTTTAATCATTCATGCATATAAAGTCAAATTTTTTTGAAAATCAATACTTACTGCTTTAAATATTTTTTCATTTAGTCACTGGAAATGTGTCTTAATAAGAAATTACATTAGAATATTTACCAGGGCATGCACTTCATGGAAGATTTATGTATTTTTTACACTAACCTGAACACAGTAAGTTTGCATTGGCTGATTTTTAGAGTTTGCTTTCATTTGAGGGAAAAATCATATTTCCTCCTTAAAGTGGATTCAAATATTTAGTATTCATGAGCTTTCATGCCTTTAGTTCTTAAATAGAAGTACTATTTATCATCTGTCTTATGCATTCACCCTTTCCATTACTATAGATTCTTTCTTTACATCTTATTATTTATTGAGTTTATGCATGTGAATATATATATTTTTCCCTCCACCACTAAGTGTATTCTTTTTTGTGTGTGCTTTTCCCAGCAACCTGCCACTCAGCCACTGCAGGAGTCCTCTGAGCCAGTTTTCATTCTTTCTTTCTGATAAATCTGATATGGCTGGTTGGCCGGACAATTGCAAGCCATTCCATTGCACAGATTTATTCCTGAAAGAAAATAAAAAGGCATCGATCCAAGATCACTAGCACATCTCAGAAACCCTGACTCCAAGGCCAGATCTTTCTACAGAGAAGTTCCTTTTTCTATATCTCTTTCTCTCTTTTCCCCTCTTGACCAAGGATGGAAGGTAGACTACCCCCATTTAAAAAATACTAGGGATGCAAGGAATTATGCTCTAAATATTCTCTGAAGCCTTTGGATTAGAGCTACCTTAGATTAATGACTATGCCAAGTGCACATTTTAAACAATAAATTGAATTAGAGTGCCTTAAACATTACAATGCTTTAAAGTGGTGTCATGTTTATATTATTTCAAGCCAGTTATTAAGAAAATTTAACATATTAAAAATAGCAACAAGTTTTTGCTTTATTATACAGTGTTCTGCTGCTGTTGGATATCTATGTGTAATTTGTAAGTGCCTAAAACATAAATGAAGCAATGATCAAAAAAGATGTTCTGTTACCTGCAACCTTATTAGCACTTGCTGTTTGATTTCACCCTTTTGAGAGATACTGCTTTATAAAGATGTTAATGTTTACATTAAAATTAGCTTATACATGTTCAAGCCTACAGCTGTTCTACAAAAATTATTTGTCAAGCATCTTCCACTGTTATCTTTTACAATGATCTGAGTATGTATTCAGGGCAGAATCTAATTATATTATAAACTTTTCTTCAGGTTATATCATTTTAGCAATGTTTTTCTATGTTACATTTGACCATATGGAACAAAATTGCTCCTTATATCTAATACTCATTTTCTGGATTATTTTAAATATCGGGCAGTTGGAGTAAAACCGTACTTTTCATGCTTCCTAACATAGTTGTTGACTGGAGTTTACATTTATACTGACAATTCCTTAATTTTCTTTACTATTATTTTTTAGTGAAAAGGTTCTACATCAGTGTTTCCTGAGCCTGTAGCTGTGCTACCTA